TTGCATGACGTTTTTAAAAAAATATCGAAAATTTATCGAACTGTACCGATGCAGAAGAAAGATTGAGACTATTTTGAAAAGTTTGAACCAAACTTTTTTTATAAAATAACCGACCGAACCGAACTATTGACACCTCTATGCTGTAACAAATTTCATTATAGCGGTTGAGTTTCTTTTTGGATCTCATGTTTCATGTTATATTTTACTTTTTCTATAACAACATTTCACCTATAATACAGCGCTATCATTATACCGGTACATTCATGGTAAAGTTACCTTAAGGTAACAAACCCTGCTCAAATATTGATGGATTTTTCCTTTCACTTTCTGATTGATTGTATACAGTACCAAATTTTCCACTTATGTTTCTGGTCATTTATTCTAAATTAGACATTATATTGCTATGAAAAGACTGGAAGACAAGAAACAAGCTGTAATTGTACATTCTTCCATTAAACGTGAATTTTTTTAATTAGCAATTAGTCATAAAATATGTATGTGCTTTGGAGAGTCTAACTCTTTGTAACTGTAGGTACAGTCCACCTAGTTATGGATTTATTAATACTATTGTATTAACTTTAAAAATAAATAAATTAATGAAATATGAATATCTGTTGAAGCTTTTAAATATTATATTTTCTTTTATAATATTTAAAATTAAGTTTGGGAAAAATTTACTTAAATTTTTTATAATATTCAAATAAGATTAAAATGCCAAATGCTATTATATGTGTACAATGGTCATTCATTACAACAGCCAAAAGATGCCCGGACAAATGACGCTATTATAGAGAAGTCTACATTAAGGAGTAGAAAAATTCAATTCTCCACCATTAAAGACAAATCAAAGTAATTGCTTCCATTAAGGATTTGTAATAAAATTTCAATTACATGTTTATGGCGTATGGATAAGCAACTGAAGTAATCCTTATGCAGCCACGCAGTGAGCACAAAGCGAACTATTCTTTCGCCTTTTACTAAAGAATATCGTGTGCGCGCTGCATTTAATGGCATACACCTATTTTTGGAGGGGTTCTCAATTTGAGTGTCCCTTACAATTCAAGTAAGCTTTTATAATCACACAAATATTTTGGGTCTCTTTTTGATTTGTTTAGGATCACAAATTTCAAAAGTCTTATTTTTTCTTAAACTTCGTGCCCAGTCAAGTCAAACAACGGAGGGACTATAATAGTTAAGAGGAGGGGTGGCAAACGGACGGGTCGGGTTGGACATGAGCGGGTCAAAATGGGTAATTTAAATAAATAGATAAATTATCCGACCCGTATTTGAGACCGATAAAAATGAGTTTATCCGGCGGATAATATGTCCATATTATGACTTCTTAAATATGATCACTTGTGAGAATTTCTAGACTTCCAAACTTGAGAAACTCCAATTTGAGGTTTTACAAATGTAAAAGTTAAACACATTAGTTATCCATTTGATTAAACATTTTCTAAGTAGATAATATGATTACTTATCCATATCGACCCGTTTTTAAATAGTTCATTATCCAACCAATTTTTTGATGGATAATATGAGGGGATAACTGTTTTCTTTTAACCATTTTGCCACCTCAATTTAAGAGTTTGATTCCTACTTACGCTAGTAAAATATGAGGTTTTGTGAAAAGGCAATTTAGAATCGAAGTTCCATTGGTGGTTTTTAGTGTTGAATTTATATTATGGGTTCATATTTATTTTTTGTTAGTATAATATTTAATGATTTTTTTATAGGAATTTATTTTCCACTATTAAATCAGTTAAAAGTGGTATACTCTTTAGTTTATTTCGTATTGTCTTTTGTGAGGATTTCACGTTTTTTGACCAAATCAGTGAAACAATTTAATTATCTTTTTTCATGTAGGATGAGACTCCACTTAGAACAAACTTGTTTCTCCAAGAGTTGTGATATCAATACTGAAAAATTGCGCATCAAATGTACATGTTGGCTGACAGTTTGACAATGAATGAAACATAACTTAACACTCATGCAAGATGTCCCATATCGACTGACACAAAGCGAAATCAGAAGCTGCAGGGATATAAACCATAGGGCAGAGCTACGTTGAAACATGCTTACCTGGATGGGGTCAATGGGCGATCAATAAGACCTATGACCTAGGTTGGTGATCTTTATCTACACAATTATTGAACAAAACTTCGAGGTAGCATATCTATGACTGAGGGTGGTAAAGTAGGGGTGAGCGTTTGGTACTTCGGTACAGTATTTATGATTACGATTCGATATTCGGTATTCGGTATGTTAATTGTGCATACCAAAATAGTTCGATACGGTATTTTCTTGTTTGGTTCGGTACAGTTTCGGTATCGCACTTGTTGTATGAGAACTTGTAGGGACGTTTTGTCATTACACTACTAAGAATCTAAGATAAGTAACCTGCAACACATGCTGTTTACACAAATTGAAAATATTCACTTCCCTGCACATTGAGGAGTTTGCGCGTTAGTTCAAAAGGCATATAAACAGTTTCATGTTGGTTGGTCATCTCAACAGATCATTACATGTAAATGTCAAGACTACAAACTTATTTCAAAAAGTTGATCAATAAATATTTCCAATAACATCACTGGCTGCGTTTTACGAGCCTAAACAATTTACCAAAATCTTCCCTGCTGCTTCTTTTTTGTACAGTTCAATCACACAACAGCAGTATATACCATATGCCTTTTCTTGTCTGCCTCTAAGCCTAAGGGATTAGGGAATTAGGGGTTTTGGACTTGAGGTGTGGGCTTAAGGTTATTGGGCTAAAAAATAAAAATAAAGTTGGGGTTGGACTAAAATATTTTGGTATACCGAAATACCGAAATATCAAAAATCCGATGTTGTATACCGTACCGAACTACAGAAATACCGTAATTTCTATGCCGAAATAAACCGAAATACCGAAAAAACCGAAACCGAAATACCAAACTAATTCGGTTCGGTTCGGAATTTGATTTTTCGGATTTTATGCCCACCCCTATGGTAAAGGACATTTATATACAGTTATTTAGAGACAACATCGAAATTTAGTCTTTAGATGCTTTTAAATGGTTAAAACTAGAATGGGAGTAGCCCCCTGCTGTAGCACTGCCCTTGTTGTCATGTTTCTTAATACATATACTTTTCCATATACAAAAAATCTATTGATGAAAAAAGTCTCAAGATCTTGTGCCCTCTCATATGCAAATATTTGTTGTAATTACAATCTCAAAGGTTTATCTTCTTTTTTTCAGTTAAAACTTCAACTTGTTAACAACTTTCAAAGAACCAGATTAATCTCAATCAACTTCCAACTCTCCCTTTTCTCTTATTCCAGTTACATGTTCTGTTGTGCTGTAAAACTAAAGAAAAGAAAGGAAAGAATGGGGAAAACGAAGCAAAAACTGAAAGACCTGGCCTTTTTTCTTCTTTCCTTACATATTAAGTAGGAAATTTCAATTTTCTACCAGTCAAAGACAAATCAAAGTAATTACTTCAATTAAGGAGTTGTATGAAACAGAGGCCTATGTCCGTACCACATCGAAAGAGAAAGCAACTGCAAGGTGTTTACGTTATTATAAAATTCAATGCGCGTCACCTAGAATCCTCATGCAGCTACGCGGTGAGCACAAAGCGAACTATTCTTTCGCCTTTTACTAAAGAATACCGTGTGCACGCCGCAAATTGTGGCATACGCCTATTTTTGGATGGGTTCTCTTCATTGAGTTCCCCCAACAATTCAAGTATAATATTCACAACCCATTTTCTTCTTAGACTAAATAAATTTGAGATGCCGTGGTAACGTTTTATTGTTAAACTTTTGTTTCAGTTAAAAATGGTGCACTTTCGTTTAATTTGGATTTGCTAGTTGGTTTTACCCTTCGTATTTTTGTGAGTGGATATACTTATAGGTAAAAGAATATACTTACAAACTTAGTAAGGGAATTATTATGTTCTCACTGAACGTTGAACGTTCATTCTAAACTGTCGAGCAACGACGCTTACACTTATTCACTAATTATAATGGTTATTCACTAATTATAACGATTCACCAGGGCCTCTTTCCTCCTCCCTTTTCTGCTCACTCGTAAGGGTCAGAACCCCACAAAGGGGAGGGAGTCGACTGAACATCTCAGTCATTTGCGGGAATTTCGCACATCCGATCCCCATTTCTTGTTCACCCTGGATGATTGTCTTGGGTGAATTGTGACCTCTTACGATCGTGTCGAGGGAGAAACAACCACTTCATCACAATACTTACTTAGGGCTAACATGTCAGACTCTGGCCAAGTATCCAAAAAAAAAACTCTCGCAAGCCAGAAGTATAAAAGGAATGGCCGTAGGAACGTGCGCATCATGACATCGTAAGATGTCTCACCCGAATGAATTGGCCGGTACTAGAAATGTTAGAAAAAGTGAAGCCTTCCAATGTCTTCCCATTCTTCTTGTCTTTGTGAGGATTTCATGTTTTTAGACCAAATATGTGAGCAGAGAAACAATTTAATTCTTTTTTACACGAAGGATAACATTCCACTTAGAACAAAATTGTGTCTCCAAGAGTTATGATATCGATTGAAAAAAATTGTGCATCAAATGTATGTTTTGATTGACTATTGGACGATGAATTAAACGTAATTTAACACTCAATAGTAACATGGATACAACAAAAGTAATTACTTTGACAAAGACTTATCAAAATAATCAAAAGGTTAAAAAGGATAGACAACTTAATTTTTACATTGGGATCAAAAGCAAAAATAATTTGGGATAACAGTAGATGTATAAGTACTACTTTGTTTTATCACATTTGCATTCTTTCGGAGTAGCAGTATAGTTGCTGAGTTTGCTCTGCTCAATGATTGATGTCTCATGTTTCTTCGGTGTGAGCTGAGAAAGGTCACTAATTTGAATGTGTGATGTCCCTCATCGGATGGGACAAATGAATGAAAGGAGCTGGAAGATATAAAAGCATTGGGAGGAGCTCTGTGGAAACATACTTACCTGGACGGGGTCAATGGACGATCAATAAGGCCCATGGCCTAGGCTAGTGACCTCCATTGCACTTTGGAGGGGTGCTAGCCTAAGGTCGACCCAAGTGGTCGAGGCTTGCGTCCGCGCGGCCCCTACCCAATTCTTCAACAAAACGATTGGGTAGCTTATTCAAATCCTGTTTTGGTATAGTTTCTTTTTATTTTGTCGCATTAGTCAGTTATCTAAAGAAGAAATTACAATATATCACTTGGGCTATATAGCCTATCCGAAAATAGCCCATATTTGAAGCCCTAGCCTGGTTTAGCCCATGTTGTATATGTTTTGAAATTTTATTTATACCCGGTAACCCACAAATATTATTAACAGTTTTCTTTTAAATTTTCTCTCTTCTTCTCACGCTTTTTTCAGAGAAGTACGAAGGCAACCGTCCTCCATTGTTGGGTCTCAAGTAACTTTTCGAGCTTTCACTCTTATTTTCAGGTAATTTTCGTTTCATTTTATGCTTTTACCACATTTTTGGTTTTAAATTTTGTTTTATTTTTAATTTTTTGCTTTTCTGTTTTTGCTTTTTTTTTTTACAATGTTGTGTTTTCCGTTTGATTTTGTGTTCCTTCTATCCTCGTTCTGGGCCTAAACTTGGTGTTTCAGTTTGCATGCTTTATTATTTCGACTTTTAGGGTAGAATTTATTTTTTGAGTTTTGTTACAATTTGGAAAAATTGGCCTCTGCTTTGTATTCGTGGCCTTTGTTTTTGGTTTGATTTTTGTGTTTTCCTTCAATTGTCTTCACTTTTGTTAAAGCTTGTTGTTTTATAGTAGAAAATGCGTTCGAAAATGTATGCTTCTAAAAGTCGTATGAAGGTTGCTGGAAAAGGTGTTAAGCTCGATTTTACGAAAATATTGAGGGACTTGCCCTCAAGCCCTGATTCTGAAGTGAATGAGCATGTCCAGGCCCCCGATGATGATGATTTTGAGTCTCCTGCTCCTACAAAAAAGTCACAACAAGAGAGCAGTCGAATAACTCGTTCTCAAATGAAGAATACTCCTACTCCAGTTAAAACATTGAGGGACTTGCCCTCAACCCCTGATTCTGAAGCGAATGCGCATGTTCAGGCCCCCGATAATGATGATTTTGAGTCTCCTGCTCCTACAAAAAAGTTGCAACAAGAGAGCAGTCGAATGACTCGTTCGCAAATGAAGAATACTCCTACTCCGGTTAACATTGTTAGAATAAGGAGTAAGAAATGTGAGAGACAAGAAAAATCCAAAGAAAAATTGAAATTTGATTTGGTTGATAAAGATGATGTAGGCCCCAGTGTTAAACCGAAAAAGAAAAAGATCGAGGACGTTAAGCATAAAAAGAGCAAGATCGAGGACGTTAAGCATAAAAAGAGCAAGATCGAGGATGTTAAGCATAAAATGAGCAAGATCGAGGACAATGGTGAGAGTGGTCTTGATTGCATATCCAAAGAACAAAGGATTGCTACTCGCCGCAAATTGAAGGAGAGAAAAGCTAAGCTGAAGGTATTCCCTACGTTGCTATTAATTTTATATATCCTTATACAATTTCATACAAAGTTATACATCTGTTTAGACATCTTTATACAAGTACTACTACACTGATTTATACATGTTTATACAATATTTTAGTATAGTTTTTGTTCCTGATTTCTTTCTTGTTATTTTTCCATATGCAAGGTTGGAGACTTCTGTAAGCACGTGATTTGAAGCAATGTTTGACTGAATTTGTTGATCATTTCTCAACAGGATTAGTTCTCATACCGAGACTGAATTTGTCAGTATTTTGAAGCAATGTTTGACTGACACACAACTTCAAATGTTTCGTGGTAGCTGTTTTGGATACTTCTTGGACCTGTCTCAATTTAAAATTCAAAATCAACTTATTAATTGTATACTATTAAGCGAAGTCATCCCGGGGCGGGAAATGGAGTTGTGGGTTAAAATTAATGGTTATTTGCTGCGTTTTTGGCATTAGAGAGTTTGTTGTTATCATTGGTTTGAAGTGTGTAGAAGAAGACGCCACTGTCTATGACAAACCAGATGTCAATAGATTGCTAAAAGAGTATTTTCCAGGAGATGGAAAAAAGGCTATAACGAAGGGGCAGCTTCTTGATCGCTTCAAGAAAAAGGACTGGAAGTCGGACGAAGATGCGTTCAAGATGGCTTTGATGGTGTTTGTCCATCATTTCATATTCTCAGATGCCAATAATCATGGTATCAACAAAGATGATTTTGATATCATTGAAAGTGGTCAATATCAGATGTATGCTTGGGGAAAAAATCATTTGAAGATATTTTAAAGACAATGAGGGACAAATAGCGTGACTATTTGACAATGTATAGGCTCAGAGGTTTGCCACTTGCGTTACAAATATGGTTTTTTTGAGTGTTGCTCTATGGTTGACAAGTATCTAGCTGTTCGCATTGGCACAAATGTGCCATGCATTCTTAATTGGAAAATCACTGTAACTCCAACATATGCGGAGTTGACAGGCGGGGTGATCATGTCTAGTATCGAAAAGGTAAACATTTTGTACCATAATACTTCTTCATATATGATTTCAGTTTTTCTGTAAGTATGTATAATTATGAATATGTCACAATTTCCCTTTTCTGCTATTGTAATCCAGTTTTTCTTATTGTAGTTGAACTATAGGAATATTTCCCCTACTCGTAAAGAGATGTCAACTCTGAACATCGCCACGCGTTTTGAAGTTAATGCCGATGATGTTGCATCAGGGGAGGTGCCTGCCTTTCACACTGATAATTCTGTCTCTGCATCTCCACCTTGTCCTCAGAATCTGGAGCAACAATCTAAACGACCTTATCCTCAGAATACGGAGCAACAACCTAACCCGAGTTATGATCATTCGGCGCACATTGATCTATTGAATGCTGAAGTTGAGAAGTTGAGGAGTGTTGTTGGAAAGGTACTGTAGCTTTAGCTTTTCTGTAGTTTATTGGTACTTTTTGTATATACATGATTTTTTGGTTATAAACATGGTTGTTGACTTACTTTTGTTGTTTTTGTTGTTTTTTGCTGTAGTTGACTGATATAGTTATGACACTCAATAGTTATATAGTTTCTTCCTTTGAAAAAGTATTCAGTTTTCTGAATATGAAGGAAACCAAGCAAACGAGGGAGGAGGTTCCTAATTCTAAGGTAATGTTTTACTGATAAAACCAAATCACTCAATAGTTATACCTTCTCTGAATCATCACTCAACAATTATGTCTTCTCTTTTATTTTTTATTAGATTCGTCAGTGCGTGTCTGATGACAATACATCTGGTTTCGGTGAATATGATGGCTATCAATATGATATTGTTCCTGACTTTGTCGGGTAAGTGAATCAAGATAACACGCTAGCTGACCAAACAGATTTAGGTGTCAAAGCAAACGAGGGAGTTAGTGATGGTGTTGATCATGGTATTCGTTCTACATTTTATCTTTTTTTGTCTGATTTTTCTTTTCTTCATTTTGAAAATTTTTTATTATTGGTTTTCTCTGTCTAAGGGGCAGCAGGTGATGTCAAGGGTGATACATTTTGGGATGACGTTAGCGATGAAGATTTAGCTGCGCTACAGATGTCCCAAATTGTTCTTCACAAACCACCCATCATAGACGTAGAAGAGGATTACATTTATCCTGAACAGTCGGCTCGACAGAAATACCAGAAAAATATGCCAAATCTCAGTATTTGCCAGTTTTTGATTCGGGGGCATCAGGATTGACACACAAACTTATTTTTATATCAAGCATCCTTTCACGATCGAGATTGATGATTTTGATCCCTTATTGCTATTGGCCAAAGAGTTTTGTTGATAATGGATGGATACGAGACGAAAGTATCTTAACTTTCTTTAAGCTTTCATGTTCTAATTTTATACTTGTCAATGAAGGTAGTTCTGATTACTTTTTATTTTTTGTGAGTTGAAGTGCCAAAAATATTTATACCGATGAAGTAAATAAGCTTGCAGAAGCTTTCACTTTTGGCTCGTGTCATGTGACCACGAAGGATTGGTTCCACTCACTTGCGTATTGTGGTCGACCTTTGATTGGCACAGTATTTAGTAACTTTCTGTCCTAATGCCTTTTTTTATTTGTTGCATATCTTTATTGTTTGAGATCCCCTGTCACGACCCTAAACTCAAACCCGGTCGTGATGGTGCCTCTCGTGAAGACAAGGCCAGCCGACACAACACCCAATTCATTTTAAGCAATTAAAATAACACAATTTAAGTCTTTAACATGATTAAATCTCAAATAAATAGTGAAACAGTACAATTTGCGGAAAAACCAACACAGCCTGACATCAGGGTGTCACCAGTCATGAGCATCTACCATAAGTCTACAAGTCTGAAAGGGGTTTATACAGTCTATTACAGAACTAGGAACAGAAAGTAAGATAGGAGGGAGAAACACTAGGCTGCGAATGCCGAACAACTACCTAGTGGACTCCAAATGGCCTGCTGAGAGCAATCAACCCTCACTGGCGGGACCTGAAGCTCCTGAATCTACGCACAAGGTGCAGGAAGTAAAGTGAGTACTCCAACTCAGTGAGTAATAATAATAAATGAAGACTGAGCGATAAGAAATTACGTAAAAATACAACAACATGCTATAAAGAAGTAGTGTAAACCAATAAAAGTCAATGAAACAGTGATATCCTATAAAAAATACCTTAGTTCAGAATAAGCTTCTTTAAAACACCTTTTTAACACTTAAGCAAGTAAATGAAAAGCAGCTAGAAAAGATAAATACATAAAATCCGCCCCTCAAGCACAATGTCAATAGAATCAGCTCCTCGGGCAATAACATGGAACAGCACCAGCCCCTCGGGCTAAATCTCATATCACAATGGGTACCACACTCACTGGGGGTGTACAGACTCCGGGAGGGGCCCTTTACGGCCGAAGCACAATATCAAGCCATCTCGTGGCATAATCAATAGGCTCTCGGCCTCATATCAAGCCACCTCGTGGCGTACAACTCAGGTCCTCGGCCTTACTCAGTCAGAAATCTCTAAAAGCCATTCGGGCACAGTAAAACATGATGCTCAACCCAAAAATAACATTTAAGTGTTAAAACAGAGTAAACATGGCTGAGTTATGAAAACAATAGAATGTAGCATGACTGACTATAGATATAAAATCAAAACAGTGAGAAAATAACAGTAAAATTCCCTAAGGGTCCAAAACAATTGGCACGAGGCCCAAATATGGCATTCAGCCCAAAACATGATGATAGAAAACAGTTTTCAATCAATTACGCAGTAAAACAGTCATTCGGGATGGACTAAGTCGTGATCCCAAATGGTGTACGACCCCACGCTCGTCATCTAGCGTGTGCCTCACCTCAATATAGCACAACGATGTGTAATCTGGGGTTTTATACCCTCAGGACAACATTTACAATTATTACTCACCTCAATGCGGTCCAAACTCTAGCCCGCAATGCCTTTGCCTCTCGAATAGGCCTCCACTCGCGTCGAATCTAGCCAAAATCATCAAAATATGCTAAGGGAACATAGCCCACTCGAAAGAAATCAAATTACAACACAAATTCCAAAATTAGCCAAACCCGACCCCGGGTCCACGTCTTGGAATCCAATAAAAATTACATTAATAGACTCCTTATCACTCCATGAGTTCATTCATATCAAAATCACCAAAATCCAACCACAAATGATCCCTTAAATCCCAAATTCTAGGTCTCCAATTACAAGCCCTAGTTCTTCAATATTATGCTTAAATTTCATGATTAATTAGGTAGAAAACACATTAGGATTGAGTATAAAGTCCAAAACTCTTACCTCCAATAAGTTCTCTTTAATTCCCTCTTTAATCTCTCTTAAAAAGCTCCAAAACCGAGTCACAAATGGTGGACTTAGGCCAAAAATTACGAAAATGGCCTTTTTAAACATTCTGCCAGGCTCTTTAATTTACTTAATCGCGATCGCGGAAAACCCATCGCGATTGTGAAGCACAAACTCCACTGGACCAAAATTTCACTCTACGCGATCGCGTATATACCCACGCGAACGCGATGCTCAGAGTCTTACACCTACGCGATCGCAAATGAGCCCACGCGAACGCGATACACAGAAACCTACAGTCACGTGATCGCAACCCTATCTACTCGAACGCGAAGAATAACCTGTATGCCCCTCTGAGACAGCTCTACGCGATCGCGAGCCTCCTCACGCGATCGCTAAGAAGAAAAACCTACGACAGAACTGAAGCTAAAACCTGCAACTTTTTAACATGCAATTTGATCCGTTTAACCACCCGAAACTCACCCGAGGTCGTTGGAACCTCAACCAAACATTCCAACATATCCCATAATATCATTCAAACTTGTTATAACCTTCAGAATGCTCAAAACAACATCAAAACACCAAATTTGCATCGAATCCAAGCCTAAGAATTCCAAAATCTTCTAAATTCCGCTTTCGATCAAAAAGTCTACCAAACCACGTCTGAATGACCTAAAAAATTTCACACACATCCCAAATGACACAACGGACCTACTGAAACTTCCGGAATTGCATTCCGACCCTTATATCAAAATCTCACCTGTCAACCAGAAAACGCCAAAATTCCAATTTCACCAATTCAAGCCTAAATCCACTCCGGACCTCCAAAACACAGTCCAATAATGCTCCTAAGTCCCAAATCACCTCCCGAAGCTATCCAAACCATCGGAATTCACATCCGAGCCCTATTTCACATAAGTCAACATCCGATTGAGTAGCACACAGAGCATTTGAGAGTTGTGTTGCAGAGATTGAGGGAGGAGAAGCTTTATGCAAAGTTCTCCAAATGTGAGTTTTTGGCTTAGTTCAGTGGCTTTCTTGGGGCACGTGGTGTCCAGTGAGGGTATTCAGGTTGATCCGAAGAAGATAGAGATGGTTCAAAGTTGGCCCAGACCGTCCTCACTCACAGAGATTCGCAGCTTTCTTGGTTTGGCGGGTTATTACCGTCGGTTCGTTCAGGGATTTTCATCTATTGCATCACCATTAACCAAATTGACTCAAAAGGGTGCTCTATTCAGGTGGTCAAATGAGTGTAAGGCGAGCTTTCAGAAGCTCAAGACTGCCTTGACCACAGCTCAGTGTTAGTTTTGCCATCAACTTTAGGTTCATATACAGTGTGTCACACCTCCTTTTTACTACCACCCATAAGAAGTATATAAGTGAGTTTTTTCCAACTTAAAGTGGCCATCAAAACAGGATTATTTTATTTAAAGATTCAGAGTCGCCACTTGGGATATTTTATGGTGTCCCAAGTCACCAGTTCAAATCCCGAATCGAGGAAATATTGACTCTGTATTACAGTCTGCGAACACAGAAATCCAGGTAAGTAATTATGTTAACCCGAGAGAAGGTGTTAGGCATTCCCGGATTCTGTGGTTCTAGCACGGTTGCTCAACTGTTATAATTGGCCTATTATCTGATTTTAATACACTTTTAAACCTATGTGCATTTTTTAACATAACCGCTTTATTTAATTAATTTTTAGGAAGATTTCAACGTTATTTAAAACATGTCTTGAACCACGTCACATAAATGCACCCGCGGTCCGCAACATATTTTATCTAACATTGTTGAGATTTGGATTTGGGTCACATAAATGCGCACCCGAATTTAGGATTACGTATCACAACTATGTCACGGGAACCGTACCCGTAGCTATGATAATTTTATTATAATGAGCCTAAAGCAACTAGCGCATCTAAATTACTTTCCTAATCTTTGAGATTGTTGGGGTGCCAAATTTATGAACAAGATATTATTGGAGCAAAGGGCTAGCTAACATGATCTATTACTTGTCTCAAATTCCTTATGGTTCAAGACCCACCTTATGACCCATGTTTATTCCTTGCCAAGAAAGAAACAACTCCATTTTTTCCATCTATTCAATTAAAAGCATTTATTCAAGAACCAACACTACGTGCATCACAGTCGAAATAAAAACTAATTAAAATAATTTAAATGAAAACTAAGACTTGTTACTCAAACAATGTAGGATCACAAATCAACCAACACGCACACCGAGCTATCATTATACAATAAAAGTGAGAATGAAAATTGAGAAATGGACCTTTTATTGATGAACAAAGCTGAAAATTGCAAATCAATCGGGCTATGTCCATAGCAAACTCGAACAACCACTTCAAAATATGTGTTGGACCTCGGACCGGAAAACCTCGATAGAGGATATAATGCTTATTCCTTCAGTAATTCCATTTGAAAATTTAATTTTTTCTTTTCTGGATGAAATGACTTTACCGCACAACTCCCTAACATGGAGTAGTTTATTGCTTCTCAATTTCATGAATTTTACTTTGTCTTTATCTTATTTAGCTGGAGGAGAGTGACAACATCATCGTCTAATAACAGCTACCAAATTTAAATCCTAGTATAATCAGCAAAAGAAGACAAATACCAACAATTCCACCAAAAGCTTCTCTTCAAAAGTGAAACGTTAACAAGCACATGCCACCACTCCCAACTCTTCTTATCACAAACTGTTGTGTACGAGAGAATAGCTTTAGTTGAATGCACAAACAATAAGGAATGACCTCATTCCGGACGCAGTTATTTGTTAATGAATGAATTTGGTCGAAGAAAGTCGAAGAAGGGAGGAGAGAGACGAGAATATCTGGAGAATCGACCTTTTCTTTTCTCTAAAAAAGATGGTAGTTCTTTTTGCCCAAAAGCTGTCGTTCTTAGGATTGTAGGGTCTAGGAAATTGAAAACTTAAGGGTAGCTTTTCTATAATTGGGTATTTTATATAGAAGTGAGAAGGGATGATGGTCATTGGATTAGAAGAAAATAGATGGCTAGGATTAAATCTTGCACTTAAATGGGCTAATGGGTTGGGAAGAATGGGCTAAGGATAATTGGGTTGGACCATGTCTTTTTGTGTTTCAATTTTGGGCTAAGAAGACTCCAAAAATTATTATTTAAAACCAAAGCTAAATTCCC